AGTTTATGTAAAGATAGCAAAGCAGATCTGCACCCAAAACATAAGCAAATACAACACTTTCTGCTTTAGTGCTTTTATTATTATTAGAATCAAGCACAAAACCGCTTACAGCATGCTATCAGACTAACAGTGCAACATTCTAATAGCATGCCTATATATAAATAGTCTGTGAGTAGGATTTATATAATTATTATTTGCCTTTCTTTGGAAATTTGTTTGCTTAGCTGATAGTAGGAGTGAAAAAGCCCGCCCCTCTAAAATCACATAATTGTGTTTTCACCTCTGTAGATAAAACATATTCAGTGATATTTCACATCATGCATCAACCTGTGTTAGTGTGTAATGTGTTGCAAGCCTCCAGAAATAAAACTATTCTGTGGGGTTAGAACTTAAATGTCAAACTCATTCTGCTTCTTTGACCTAGCAAATGACCTCCGGGTGCTAGAACCAGGTTTTTGATCCCTATCTTCTGCTTCATCTGTTCATTTTAACCCATTTTGTTATCATTGACCATCAATGCATATTATATATGCATACAAGAACTTAATTCAATCCTGATAAGAAAATTGATAGCTCACACTCAAGGTTTTGTTGCCATAGCCTGAGATACTGATCAGGTAGTTGTACAAGTAACAAGATTTATTCCTCGTGCTAACACATAGCCTTTAAATCCTGTAAATTCAAAGCACAGACTGTGGGCCTGACAGGGATGTTTTTTTCATCATCTATTTGAAAAAGTGCAGCGCAGAGTGAAAATGCTGAGACAGCGAGATGGAGTGAGCAAGAGAGACGCGTTGTAAACTTTTTACCACCTTGCAGTAAAAGACTATATAAATAATATTGCATGTACACCTTACCTCTATGATTCGCTGGATCCCTGGATACTGGTGGCAAGGGCGTGTAAGGCATGTTAGGAGATCCTGAGTCTACATTACTTGAAATCTGACAGAGACACAAGGAATATCAGTCAATTGAATTCAGGGATACATATAATATTGTTTTTTCACCTTATATAAATACAAATTATTCTAATTCAGTATGTAGTACTCACACAGGAACTACAAGATCACTGGCATCCGCCATTCTCTGTTTTTACCTTACACTTACCAACATTAAAAATGGTTGTTTGATGCACATTCCTGACACCCACAAGAGCTTCCCAAGTACTGATGTAGAACCAAATGGCTCTACATAAATATTTATTAAACCCTAAGTTTGATTTTTTTCAAACAAATTTTATTTGATTTTTTCATATAAAACTACAAAAGAAAAATGAAACAAACATACTATCAGCAGGTTACATACGTGTGCATATCCGTATTCATTATACATCAGACGTGTAGGATGTGTCAGGGTACCCGTGCTATCCGCTCCCCTGTTAAACTACAGCTTATCAGGAACAAACTCTATGTAATTTCTGGATCCAGTAGGGGCTGAGGCTAGGCCAAGTATCTGGCAGGTGGGAGGTAATCTAATCCTGCGCCAATCGCAGGCTCCCCAGCGTGTTCGACACATCTGCCTCTAAATACCATTTTGTATATCTAAAGGGCTGAACCATGTGAGTTATTTCCATTACCGTTAAGGTTTTTACAATGAAATGTTTCCATCTTTTGAAGAAGGATGAGGCCTGTTTATCTGTGTGCATTTCGGCCTCTAGTCTTTCCTTGGCCAGTAACGCTGTCAAGTCCTTAATAATTTCTTGTACCTTAGAGGCCGATGGGGCGTTCCAGTGTCTCATGAGACATCTCCTAGCCACCAGGAGGCAGATGTGCACCCAGTCCAGTCCTTTATATTTGGTCTGACCTCGATTGTTGGTAGAACAGTCCAGGTATCCAAAAAGGCACAATGAGTACTCCAAGCCTGGTTTCCAGGAAACAATAGTGCTGATATATGCAAGAACTTGGTTCCAAAAGTCCGATATCTCTGGACACCCCCAAAAGCAGTGATGTAGGGTTGGGCGTTGGAGTCCACATTTCGGACATATCGATATTGGTTGGTGTAATGAGGAAGGCGTCGTTGCTGGAACAAAGTAAGGGACGTAGGCTCGATGTAAAATTTTGAATTGGGTCTCCCTCCAAATTTCGTTTGTTATTATTGATCTCGTCTTGGTGTACCCCTCAAGTATTTTAGGTAACAGATCCGGATCATCAAAGTCTCTTGACCACCCTTTCACACTTGACCCTGAGAGGGGGGGGGGGTATAAATAGTGTTTGTAGTCTTGGGTATAGTTCCGAAATAGAATATGTTTTGTTTGATACAAGGGTGTCCAGAAATGATGATGAGAAAAGGGATCTCGGCTTACCCGAGACTGTGTCACGCAGTCTTCAGCTGTAGGTAGTGTAGAAAGTCCTGGGGGGGGATACGATATTGCTGTATCAGATCCTTGAAAGAGTAAGGGGTGAAGGTTTGAGGGTCAAATAGTTGTTTCCAGAGATGGAGGCCCTTCTTTTTCCATTTGTGGAATGCTGAGTAATCTAAGCCTTGAACAAATGAGGGGTGCCCCGTGATGGGACAGTGTGTGGACATACATAAAGGCAGTTTGAAAGATTTCCTGATCTCTCGCCAAACAGTAATTGTGTCCCTAATAAATGAAATGTGTCGAATGCGCTGGGGTAGGGCAGCTAAGTTTGATTTAATGCTAGTATGCATTGATATGTTTGTAGTCCTGTTCTCAATCATATGTAATGCCCCCCCTCAAGGGGGATGAATGCCAACAAGTTAGAACTTCAGGATTCAGCATCCAGCTATACTTAAGCCTTACAGACAGCTTTAAAGTAGCCCTAGCATCATATATATTTTCGATTGTTAAGCGCATGCATACTAAGTAAGGTGCAAGTGTAAAACATAGAGGTATTTGAGTGTCTGTGCAGCTGTTAGCTGTGTTCACAGATGTCTAACACAGATCAACCTCTGTTGCAGCCTCTCCTCTTTTGGCTTGCTACAAAGCTTACAATATAAAGTCTGAAAAATGAAAAAGAGAAGACTGAAAAAATGTTCTCTCCTAATTACAGCAGACTGATGATATCATCTCAGCCTAGGCAGTCACTGAACTTAAGCTCCAGAACTGTTTTTTTTTTTTAATGAATGTATTATTACTGTATTTTGTGACATATCTTGCAGATTTAAAGCTGCATGGAGATCCACAAAATAATCTAAAAATAACATACAGCTGGGACAGAGGGTCCTCCTTTTTATACAATGGTGAGGGCCACATGGGATAAACAATAATCTCTTCAATTGAATGTTTGGGAGATGCCGTTAAGCTGTGTGTGGTATTACAGAACAGTATGATGCTCATCAAAAAGTTGGGATGCTGTGTAAAATCTACATAAAAACAGAATACAATGATTTGCAAATCTCAAAAACCCATATTTTATTTACAATAGAAAATAGAAAACATATCAAGTAACATATATGTTTAAACTGAAAAAAATATACCCTTTTAAGAAAAAAATAAAGCAATGTTGAAATTGATGGCAGCAACATATCTCAAAAAAATTGGGACAGGGCAAGAAAAAGCTGACAAAGTAAGTGGTACTAACAAGGAAGAGCTGGAAGAACATTTTGCAACTAATTAGTTTAATTGGGAACAGGTCGGTAACATGATTGAACATAAAGGTGCCCATACACCTTACGATTATCGGACTAAACTTTTCGTCCGATGATCGAACCGTCGTACGATTTTCGTACGACGGCCCCATCCTGCCCCGATTATCGCAAGGTTCAATCAGCGGTAGTTAGAAAAAAACACCTGGACGACTTGCGGTAATTGACCGCAATTATTTTCGTTTGCGCATGCGCAGTGTTAATCGTACGACTTTTGACGGACGGAAACGCCACCAACCATGCGAACATCGTACGATCAACCAAAGTTTTCAAACATGCTTGACCGTCAAAAGTCGTACGATTGTACAGTACTATCGGTCGGGCACTTTATTCACACGTTACGATTGTCGTACGAAAAGTCGATCGCATACGGTTATCGTACGATAATCGTAAGGTTTATGGGCACCTTTAGAGTCAGAGTGTCTCAGAAGTAAAGATGAGCAGAGGTTCACCAATCTGTGAAAAGCTGCATCTAAAAATTGTTGAAAAATTTCAGAATAATGTTCCTCAATGTAAAATTGCAAAGACTTTAAATATATCCTCATCTACAGTACATAATATCATAAAAAGATTCAGAGAATCTGGAGAAATCTCTGTGTACAAGGGACAAGGCCGAAACGCAATATTGGATGCCCATGATTTTTGGACCCACTGACAGCACGGCATTAAAATGATGGTAATCACTGCATGGGATCAGGAATATGTCCAAAAATCACGGTCTGTGAACACAGTTTGCTGTGCAATCCAAAAATGCAAGCTAAAGCTATATCTTGCAAAGAAGAAGCCATATTTGGACATGATCCAGAAATGCTTCTGTCTTCTCTGGACCAAAGCTAATTTAAAATGGTCTGTTGCAAAGTGGAAAATTGTTCTGTGTTCAGGCGAATTGGAATTTCACATTCTTTTGGGCAACCATGGGTGCCGCATCCTCTGGACTAATGAGGAGAGGGACCTTCTGGCTTGTTATTAGTGCTCAGTTCAAAAGCCTGCATCTCTGATGGGGGTGCATTAGTACGTATGGAATGAGCAGCTTGCACATCTGAAAAGGCACCATCAATGCTGAAAGATATATCCAGGTTTTAGGGCAGCATATGCTCCAATCCAGATGATGTCTTTTTCAGGGAAGGCCTTGCATATTTCAGCAGGACGAATGCTAAACCGCATACTGCATCTTTGACATCAGCATGGCTTCGTAGTAAAAGAGCCTCGGTGCTTAACTGGTCCGCCTGCAGTCCAAACCTTTCACCAACTGAAAATATTTGCCGCATCTTGAAACTAATATGACAAAGACGACCCAGGACTGTTGAAAGGTTAGAATCCTATCAGACAAGAATGGGAGAACATTCCTCTCCCAAAACTCCAGCAACTGGTCTCCTCCATTCCCAGACGTTTAACGAGTGTTGTTAAAAGAAGAGGGGATGCTATACCATGGTAAACATGCTCCAACTTTTTTGAGATGTGTTGTTGCCATCAATTTCAAAATTACTTAAAGGATTTTTTTTTAAATGGTATCAGATTTGCAAATCATTGCATTCTGTTTTTATGTAGATTTTACACAGCATCACAAGTTTTTTGGAGTTGGGGTTGTAATTAATTTCAACTTTTAAGGTAGATTTGGCTGCGGTACCTGTTTTTTATCGAGTGGTAACAAATCTGCATTGACTGGCAGAAGTAGCAGCCACAACAGATTTAAAAGATAAAGGAAAGTCTCCCTTTACAAAAAATAAAGTTTCATAGCATACTTTGTGACCTTTTTTTTTACTCACTACCACAATGATTGGTCTTACATTTATTAAAGTGCTAAAACATAGTGCATAAAACATTTTATATATATTTTTTTACAAGGCCCTTTACAGCACCTGGTTTAGTTGTCTATAAGCTACATACACTGAGTGGCCAGATTATTATGACTACCCCATCAGTACTTCCTTGGGCCGCGAGATGACTTCGTTGGGCCGCCTCGTGACTCCACGAGATGTTGAAAGGTGATGCGAGGAATCTGACACTGCAGTGTTGCCCTTCTGTTGTCTTGTACCAGTCTTGCCACTCTCCGTTCTGCCCTAACATTGACTAGTCACTGACGGCCACAATTCACACGCTCAGACCCAGATTTTCGGCTGACAGTCCAGTCTTTAAACACTTTAACAACAGCTGCTCTTGAACATTTAACAAATTCTGCTGTTTTGCTGATACTCGCTCCATGGCTCGGAGCGCCAACAATCATCCCACGTTCAAAGGCTGTTAAATCGTGTTGTTTACCCATATCTCCAGAAAAAAATAACTTATACTGTCGTGGTAAACAACATGTTTCTCTATTCAT